TCGCATTAGTTTTAATGAACTCACCTAACTGAAGGCGCTTGGGCACGTATCCGCAACAAATCACGAATGAATACGTTGAGCTTCAAATGTCCTACGACCACTACACAGCTTACATTAATCACTTCTCGATCTGACCATACCTCAGCACGTTGTTGAGGCTCCATCTGTCGACTCTTTCAAAATAAAGTTGGATCAACTGAGAGACCATCAGTGCCAGGACTAATATAGGCCATCAAGTCCTCTGCCCTTTCCAAACTGAAACTAAAATTGAAACTGGATATATCGATAGTCTATCCAATGTATCTTCGAACCTCTCAGCCTCTGACTTTTGATTTGACTGTGCTGATATACTTCGATTAAAAAATGGTGCGTGCAAAGGCGTTTTCAAATTCCGAATACATTTGGCAACATTACACATATATCTTGTACTATTCATTAAAACTAACTATGTTCACTAGGTACAAGATAACTTATTTTAGTGAGTTTCTCACCACTACATTTTTTTCGAAAACCTGTAAGTATTTTGTGTATTATAGGTTCAACAGATTATTTATAAAGGGACTAAGACTTTGTCTAATTTATATAATAAAATATGCAAATTCTTACAGTACAAAGTAGTGTCGTATGAATTGCAACTTGAAAGTTGATATAGAAATTACGAGCCATCTAAATGAAATCTATTTAGTTACATAGCTTGTCAAATAAAACGAGGGCAGCCTCTGTTGAAGCTAAATGACGTATCAATACTTCTCCTCAGTTTTTCAGTGTCATTGTTTTTGTGTGTTTTGATTCTGCTTTTGTGTATTTGCTGCATCAAAGCATTCTTGGTCGACTGAGGCTTGTTTATTTGATAAGGTTGTGATTTATTTTACATATCTACCTTGCCTACCATTTTGTTTTATTCTAAGATGGTCGTCTCTGTACACAAGTGTGGACAGCCATATTGCCTATTCCCCGTGGAAGAAGGGATGCAATGTGACGATTGTAAGAAGTGGTTTCATAAAATGTGCACCCGCTTAAGCCCTGCTGCTTATAAAAGGTGCTCGAAACCCAATTCTCATTGGCTCTGTATGTTTTGTTGCTCAAGTAAGACATTACTCATACAGGAAGCCATCAGCCTTCTAGCGTTAGCTAAAAAGGCCGACGTAGGCCGTGCCGGCAACATGGATACTGATAATGAAGATTGTATCAGTGTCGTAAATGCTGCCATGGCAGGTACCAGACACCCAATTTCGCTACAGGAAGCAACAATTTGTACTCCGGTACAACCAATGAAAGCCATGCCATTAAGTACTGAGGGACCAGTCGCTTTAGCAGCGACTGAGGACCCGGCTAGAACCACTATCGTCCAGAATAGTTCCAATCTGGATGCTGAGAATAGTGGCAAATGGATTACGCGGAAACGCAAAAGAGACGGAAAAACACCCAAAGAAAGCGCGCGTATAGTCGGTAAGTCATCGTTGGACTCACGTCCTGAGCACCAGGCAACTCCGCTCAAGTCCATACGTAAGGAAATAATTAATACTGTTGTGGATGGAAATAGTCTAACTTCACCAAATGTTGTTGGGAGTAACTCGCTTGACCCACATGACACTGTCATAAAGAAAGCTAATAGCAAGAAGCCGGTAGCTAACCGGCAGGATCTGACATCACGGTCAAAGGCCGTGAACACGACGTTTAAGGCAGTTAAACAGATGCCTAGTGTAATCATCTGGAACTTGGCAGAATCGAAAGACACCGATCCCGCTAAGAGACATGCCCACGACCTGCAGTTAGTGGGATCTCTCATCAGAAATATACTGCCAGAAGAGGTCCCAGGGGTACATATCTCGAAAGTCATCAGACTTGGTAAGTATGTTGGAGACGAAACCCAACAGAGAAGGATCCTCAAATTAGTACTCGGTAATTTTGAGGAACGGGACGTATTACTAAATAACTCACGCAAAACTCGTGACTCAAACATTCGTATTCGACCTGACTGGCCACTTGAGGATCGGATCAAGTGGAAGAATGCCCTAACAGAGTTAAAAACTTGAAGGCTAAACGGTGAAGCGAACCTTACGATTAAGGGTTTTCGGGTAGTCAGGTCTTGGAAGCCAATGCTTCCGAGACCTGTGTGGGTAGAACGCATGTCTCCAAAAACACCCTAAATGTGTGTTATACGAATGCTCGTAGTCTTCGGAATAAGATGTCTGAACTAAGTTTGATGGTAGACGACTTAAATCCGGATATAATTGTTATCACCGAAACTTGGCTCACTGTAGATATAGACTGTTCTCCAGTCATTTCAGGCTACATCTGTGTCAGAAGTGATAGAGTTAGAAGTCGCAAGGGAGGAGGCATAATATTATATATTAGGGACCACTTCCGCATTAACTCGATCATATCGGAGGCGCATGTAAGTGGTACGTGTGAGGTAGTATGTTGTACAATTAGGTCTAGAAACGGGTTAGTGACGATAGGAGGAATATATCGTAGTCCGTGTTGTCTCGCTGACGACTTTATCCTAAAACACGTCTGTTCTTGGAGTAAAGCAGAATGTTGTCTCATCGTTGGAGATTTCAATGCACCCCATATAAACTGGATAGAGCTCACAGCTCCAGGTGGGGGTTTCGATAGCGTCCTTCTGTCATCAATTATTCAATGTGCACTTGTACAATGTATCGTTAAGCCAACACATATAGACTTGGAACATAATCCGTCATTGATAGACCTTGTCCTCACACACCACTCTGAAGATATCGTTGACATTCAACATCTTCCCCCACTGGTGAATAGTGACCATGTCGTACTTTCCTTTAAGTTCCGGATACATGGTATAGAATTTGCATCAGCTCCACCCCGTCCTAATATCTGGAGAGCTAATATTCCGGCAATCAGGGACTATGCTATCTCAATTGACTGGTCGGTCGATGCTGATGGATCGATTGATGATGCATGGAATAGGTTTAAGTCTACGTTCGAATCCGTAACTCAGCCGTTTATCCCATGGTCAGCACGTAAGTTATCATATTGCCCTCCATGGATTAATAAGGAAACCCGGAAGCTGTTGAAGCGTAGGAAACACTACTGGGACTTATTCTTGTCAACAGGTCAGGCATCATTTAAGTGCGAATATAAAAAAATCCGGAATATATGTAAAAAGACCATAGCTAAATCCCGCACGGCTTACGAACGACAGTTGGCATACGATAGCCGTACCTGTCCGAAGCGCCTGTTTTCGTACGTTAAAAGGCGGACGAAACGTAGTGATGGCATCCCCTCATTACTGTTAAGCGAAAATTCAGCTTTATTGGCTGAATCTGATCTGGCGAAAGCGGAGTTATTTGCTAACTATTTCAGTGAAGTCTACTCTACGTGTAGTGTTACAACTACTTGTCCCGTTGACAATGAGATACCAGCCATAGGACCCTTACACGTGACAGAGGATATAGTTCTTCCTTTGATAACTAACCTAAAACCTTGTAAGATACCGGGCCCCGATGGGTTACACCCACGTTTGCTGTCGTCGCTTGCGAACATTATCTCAAGACCGCTCACGATGCTCTTCAACATGTCCCTTTCACAGGCTCAACTACCTAGAGACTGGAAAGACGCCATAGTTAGTCCTATATTTAAGGATGGTCAGAGACGGATAGTATCTAACTACCGGCCTGTTAGCCTGACCAGTATAGTAGTTAAGTTACTTGAAAAATTAATTCGGGCTAAGCTACTGAGCCACATAGATTCGTACAATCTGTTAACTCCCGAGCAACATGGGTTTCGTAACAAGCATTCATGCTTGACTAACTTACTCATTGCGAGAGAGGATTGGACAGCTGCACTAGACAACGGCCAGTCTGTCGACGTGATATTTATAGATTTTAGCAAAGCGTTTGATAAGGTTTCACACTTAGGTCTCATGCAAAAGCTCTCGAGCTTTGGTATAACAGGTGCTATACAGGAATGGATAGGAAGCTTCTTATGTGACCGCAGACAGAGAGTGAGAGTCAATGGAACTCTATCCGAATGGAAACCGGTCAAAAGTGGTGTACCCCAAGGCACCATCTTGGGCCCTTTACTTTTCCTTCTGTATATTAATGAACTACCTTTATTACTGAAGTCGTCGACGTTATTGTTTGCGGATGATGTTAAAATCTGGAGAACAATAAGAAATGAGATTGATCGTTGTTATCTACAAGCAGATTTAGACGAATTAGTTAGGTGGGCTCATGATTGGGGCCTGGAAGTTAATTCCAGGAAGAGCGTGTTCATGCACATCGGGCACGATATTAGTTACCATTATACCATTAATGGTACATCTCTGCCACGCGTTCATACGCATAAAGACTTAGGAGTAATTATAAGTCACGACTTAAAAACTACTACGCACTGCAGTGCGGTTGCTTCCAAAGGCTATCGCGCGCTATGGTCGCTTCGCAGAGCATTTAAATGCTTTGACGAGGATATGTTTCGAATTTTATATCCCACCTATGTAAGGCCACACTTAGAATACTGTATCCAAGCAGCTAGCCCTTGTCTGATAAAGGATACTAAATCGCTTGAGCGTGTCCAGCGTGTAGGGACAAAATTAGTAAAGGGTCTTTCCAAACTTCCTTACGATGAGCGTTTAAAACGTCTAAATCTTTTCCCCTTATCTTATCGTAGGACGCGAGGTGACCTTATACTGGCATTTCGTATCTTTAATTATGATCTGGGTGTTAATATGTCTTACCTTTTTGCTCCCTCCAGCACTAATAATCTCCGGGGTCATAGCAAGAAGGTTCTTAAACCGCGATCTAATAAACTAAAGGTGGGGTCCCGTTTTTCTCATCGAGTGGTCAATGACTGGAACGCTTTACCAGAACAAGTGGTATCAGCACCATCAGTGAACATTTTCAAAAAGAAGCTGGACCTTCACTGGAAGGAAATCTGTCAGGATTAACACAGGTTCATCAACCTACTATCCTTATTACTGAAGACTGAAGACTGAAGACTGAATGTCATTGATAGTGGACATCGAATAGCGCGGCTTTAGAATGTGTTGCGTCTGAAGCATTTGAAATCCTCACGGTTTCAGCTATCAGGTTGTCTGGACATTATAATTTTGCTATTTGCTCTCGATCTCTTTCGTCATTGAATGTAAGCAAAATTGTTTGGTTACTTAGTCGTCAGCTTACTTCACTCTCTTGTTTTCCTTTCCAAATTTTCTCACTGTTCACTCCTGCAAACGTCCGTCCGCACCAGACGTAAACATACCGGAGGCTTGAAGTCGCACGTATTCTGGTCACATGTTGAAGCAGAAGGAAGATGTACTTCTTATGGTTAAGCACGTACGGTATAAGAAAGTGGATGGGACCCTGTATGTTAATTCAGGAAGAGTGGCTTGGCGTAACCAAACATCTGATAGTTTTCGCATCAGTGCAAAATTCGAAGATATTAGAATACAGCGTATTAGTCCGGACCAAAAAGAAAAAGTTCAACTCCAGTTATTAATGCATAGCGGGGAGTCTTTCACATTCCAGTTTTCGGATCCTGGAGGCAGAGAGAAACAGCTTGAAATGCGTAACAACGTGAAGGCAATGTTACAAAATTTGCTACCCAAATTTAAAGACAAGGTTCGTTTGATTGCAGTCGTGTTTGCTTTTTCTAGATCCTAGTATAACAGAATAAGTTGATTCAATAACCATGGTTACTCAATTTCCCGTTACATGTTATTTGGTTTATTAAAGACCCGACAATTCATTTCAGTTATAGGTTTCACCATTTTAAACATTGTAAAGGCCAATCTCACTACTTCGAAAATTAGTGTGTCAGTAAGTAATGTGATTGAATCGTGGGAATCTTTGCTGTCAGTTAATGATTAGTTAAAGAGTACATTAGTTTAGCAGTAGAATCACTTGGTTTCACATAAAGTTAATTTAAAGTCTGGAGGTTAAGGGATCCAAATAGTATATTTCACTATGGTACAATTGGAGTTTTTCAAAGGATTCACGAAATATACCCTAGTCGCTTGCTTTGGATTTAAAATGTGTAAACAGAATGTAATTATTGAAAGGATCAACTACTTTTTTTCAATCATTCTGTTGTTTGTAGTATAAACTAAATAGCAAGTATCAAGTAACTCACCGAACCAGCCTAAAGTTGCTAGGTTCTTCATTTCCTTTTCCGTGAATGCTCTCGCTGTCAGCATTAGTAATATTAATATATGAACGAACTCATTTAGTCCTAACTGCTTTTCACTAATCACGGCTAAAAACCATTACAGCCAGTAAATAGCATATTTACAAATTACTGATTCTTTGTTAGGCTAATAAAGGGCCTCTACAACACAATGTGAACCGCCATTCATGTCGAATCATCGATTTCAGCTACTCATCTCATAAGAAACACCCATCAACTGTATGCTGTAAACTCCACCAGTGGTCTACAATTTCACATAATGGTTCTGTTTCCTAGGACATATTGTGGTTTATCTAAATGCTAGGTTCAGTGTATCTGTACGTACTAAGCACATCTTCGTGTCGTCTTATTCATATGATAGTCAGTCTACATCAATTTGCTGAAATCTTTATTCTAAACTTCAGAATTCTTCAAAAGTCGTAATGCCTAGAAACATGAGTCTGAACAATTGAAGAATGCTTTTTCACCTAACTCCGCTGGCCGTTTGATATGCGTATAGTAGTACAGAACAATTCACTCCTAAGACCGGCTGATTTGTCCGTATATGTGTTGGTTCTTTTTAAAACAGATCGTTAGGGTTTGCTGTGCAACGCGTCGTTTTAAAAGTTTTTTTAGTGAGAAGTTGGAGAACTACTAACAATAATTTTCGCAAGGTGAACTGGACCGAAAATCCTTAGAGTTCTGCATAAAAGCGAGTCAGGCCGACATTCGCACGTGTAAGTTGATTGGTGTTCCCGATCGTCAGTAAATTTTACTTGTTGACTACACAACATCCGGTAATCCTGTTTCACCGCGTACATAGTTAACTGCTTAACTAAAAAACAAACCACGTAACAGTACTGTTACAAAGTTATCGTAATTCCTGTCTAAATGCATTGTGTTTCTTCATCTGGTTTCAAGACATAATTTTGTTGTTCTATTCAATATGTGCGAACAAAACTCCAAGATTATTTTAGGTTAATTCGTCGTGAGCTTCGTGTAAAATGAAGGCTAGTGCCCTTTAGTTCAAATTGTTTATAAAGGTTCAGTAGATTAAACCGTTTCACGTTTTGAAATAAAACTAGCGGATCATTATACCACTTCTTAAGTGGGATATTGGTTGATTTTTGAGCAATCTGATCGGATAGTCCAAGTAATTGGGGTACAGCAGGACACCAAAAACGTATATGTCACACAAGTAAGAAAATGGTGTTGTGAAAAAGTTTTTCTCCGGAGAAAAAATTCTCACAACCCCCTTGTTCTCTTCCCATAGGATGTCATTTATAGCAGTGGTGGAAAGTAATTTCACTCAGTCGATCTGTCATAATCATTCACATACTGACCACTTACATTTCACTATAACTCGAGGTATGATGATGATCCAGGTCTCAAAACATCATGGAAATTCGTTTTCACCAATTTTCTTACCCCTTCTCATCATTTTTTACTAATGCAATTTCATTTTCATAGTTTGCTGTCAGTATGATGCTACTGTGATCAAGGGTCAGTGATAATGATTCTAAACTTCTGAAAGTCATCTAACCTGTTAGACACAGAAACTCTGATTATTCAGTCGGTATGTATGATTATGAAGTATCCATCTGAAAAAGTTCTAGATCGTAGACTTAAGTTATAATCATACAACGACTGAGATGATTGTTTCGTATTTTGTCTATTTAAAGTAACGGACTATTCCGGCTTACTTTGCCTCCTAAAACTGAAGCTGTCTTTTCAGAGCTAGTCTTTTAATCTAAGTTAAATGAAACGATCTGATAAGAATTAGTGACTGGAGACCTTAATTGACATGGTTCAGAATAATGGTTCACCATAGTGTGTATCAATTCGTTCCTCACGTTCAAAGTCGTATCTTATTTCTTGTCGTTTATCGTCCCTCTATCACATGTATCATTCTTAATTATTGTAAGTATTTTTCTGTTTACGCTGCATTACTCTGTGCTATTTTTGAAGTGTTTTCGATTGCATAGTTGGGCGTGTTGTTCTTCATTATGTTATCTATCCGTTTATCACACTGACAACTCTAGTTTTTACAGACTCAGTACAACTCGTCGAATATTCAAAACATATCCGTTGCAGTTCAGCTCTATTTTCCACAGATATTATTCAGTTTTCTCATCATTCAAACAACTCATTTCAGTGTGTTTAATTAGTTACCACCAAGTCGTTTACGTTTTAAACATGCTTTTCAACCGGACACTTACATACTTTCTTGTTCTCCAGGCTCAAGCCGAATTAAAGGAAAAATTTCGACTCCTTGAATCAAACCCTGAGATTCTGGCCTTATACAAAGAATTGGTTGTTAGTGGTATACTTAGCTCTGAAGAGTTTTGGGCTCGGCCAGAATTCTCTCATAATAATTTTAATTCATCACAGTGTCTGAATAATTCCACAGTTAATAACAAAGCTTCTGGGACTACTGGAACCTCAGAAGCAGCCCCTAACAGTACAAATATGTTATCTCAAAATAATCCGTCAAATGGTCCTACTAGTCAGATTTCACGAAGTTTTCAGTTAGACGATCGACCTCAAGTTATTGGAGTCCCAAGTTGTCTTTTGAGCGATATCAAGCCTGAAGCGGATGGTGCCAACGGAATAAAATACAACCTTACTCACGAGACAATCAATGCAATATTCCGAGCCTATCCTACTGTACGTGATAAACATCGAGAAATGGTCCCTGATAAATTATCTGAAGCTGACTTCTGGATAAAGTTTTTTCAGTCTCATTATTTTCACCGGTAAGTTTTTGTTCTTGATAAACTTATTCTTAACTCTTTAAATATCAAGTCAGCAGTAATGTATTATTTATTTTCAATGATTTATTTACTTAAAAGTCAATAAAACTAATAAGATGTATTGTTTAACACGAGTTGTATTTATTAACGCCGATTGATACGTTTAAAAACAATCAGTTGCCATCCAGTTTAAAAACACTTCTTTGACGTAAGTAACTTTAAATGATCTAAAGACGTTATATATATGGGCTGAACAAGTTTCATGTATGTGGAGAACTAGTATTCATTTCAGTAACTACTCCAATTTGTACAATAAACTTCACTTTTCTGAAAATAAATTTGTACATGCAATAGATGAGTTTATTTGTTAATCTTTTAACGAGATTTTGTTATATCTCTCCTCATATTCAAACATGAATCAGAAGATAGTCTAAGTTGCTGCTTTCATTAGCATCACACGAAATGATACAACAAAAAACACTGCATTTATGTGTAGTGGTAGGGCTAACGCATAAGAATGATTTGGGAAGAAGCCATAGCTAGTACGGTTACTGCCATCGATAAATCTAAAACACCGTTATGGCTATGTCATTGTTACCATTCCATTTAATAATTCATTGTATTATCTTCCACAACTGAAGAGTAGAATAGAAACCTTTTAGTAATATAACACACCTATCACTGTCCCACTCATGACGTTGGTGCACTGCAAACAAAATTAGTGTAATTGTATGTGACCGAAACTACCACTCATAGTATTTTTCAGTGTCAATGTCAGCTGTTGTGAGATGTTTATCAGCCATCTTTTTTTAGTGATATCCTCATTGACCATTGTTCTGATTCGGTTTGGGCACCCGGGCAGTATTACAGCCCTTACACAAATGAGATTTGTGTGGTGTATATGTATCTGGTGCCCCTCTGTCTTCTTGGTCTGTTTTTATGGCAAACTGATTACTTCGGTAAGCAAAATATAGATAGAACAATCACTAGATTTATTTTCTTTTCGAAGACGCCCTGTTTTCGGCACATCAGTGTTCAAGCACTAACACTACGTTATTCCTAATACTAATAAGATGTAAATGACCTATGGCAAAATGTGAGGTGTTTGTGTTTTTACTGCTCGTTGATCAACATTCCTGACGGAAAAATATAAGACAAATCTCACTTTACACAGTTCAACTAGGATACCATTTAAAAAGCTAGCCTGACAACTTTACATATTTATCTTACTAGATTAGTCTACATTTGGCTTTCGACTTCTGTAGACCATGGCTTTCAAATTATCTGTATTTTGTGACCACCCTAGTAACGGGGTTAATAATATCAGTTGATAAGTTTTAGTGATGATGAATCGATAATATTTTACTAGTACAATCTTTGTCATTTGGAATTTAATATGTTATTCCTAGTGCTTTACTTGTGGTTGTGAGATAGTTCACTTCTCATTTTTCGAACGTAGCTAATATGGTGAGGCTCACTCGCCAAATTTCCCTTTGAACAGCAGTTAAGTTGTAAAACATGGATACAGTTTTTCATTTTATCACTTCTGTTACTATTATAAATGTGAGTGCTAATGAATACTTCCATTTATTTAGTGACCGTGTTCATCTTCCGAAAAATGATATATTTGCTGATTGTGCTGGTATTGACGATAAACTTTTACTCAGTGATATACGGAAATCAAGAGTCAACCGGAATAATGTCCACCTTGATTTACCTAATCTTACCGATTACGATATAGGACAAGGTTATGGGACTGATCAAATATCCGGTCCGACAAAACAAAAATCAGCTGACTCAGATCAGAGTGCAGATAATACATTGAATGAATCAGTAATCCCGAGCAATTTATCTGCAAATCAGTTGTTACTTCGTCGTTTCAACAATCATTCGATACTTGTTTTGAAATCTCTTAGTTCAAATGACGTATCTTCATCAACTAATAATGTATCTCAAAATCCGAAAGATGTGCTTAACTCCTGTCCGTTAAAAGACCGCGTGTACGTTAAAGAACTGGTAGAAGATCAAAATCCTGCAGAAATCCAGTTAGACCTAACTTGTGTAACTGACTATTTAGAGGGTCCTACCCCTAGTATAGCTGGTAAAGCTACAAAGTTAATGGATCCATTATCAGTTACCCGGCAAACAGATACTTCTTCTCATGGATTACAACTAGAGCAGTCAGTAAAGAGATGTAAGAATATGATGGTAGCTGCTTATCACATGGGGAAAAAGCCAGGTGTATCACTTTTAACTGCACTTGAATCTCAACAAGCATTGGCAGATGTCTCACCTGGTGGTTGCCTCATCGGTGGGAAACTTAATGAACGTTCGAAACCATGCGACTTAAATAGTGATCAATCATCTTTACGCTTGTTTGAGCCAGGAAGAAACAATCGTATTTCGAACTCTCCGAAAGTGTCTGATGAACACCATGCTAATGACGATGTCAATCGTGGCCCGCCACTACTCACACCAGAACAGGTTAAAGATTTGTCACTTTTATATTCTAGTGCAGCTGAACTCTTAAGACATTTCTGGGCATGTTTCCCTGTAACAACCCCACAGCTAGCTGATAAGTTAGATCGTGTTGCTGCCAGTCTTACTCGTTTTCGTACAACCAAGGTGATCCACTTCGCTGCTGGTGTTGATCCGTCTTTGATGACTAAGTCAGACACATATTCTTCTGATTCATCCGAACATCTACCTAACACAGGAAATTCTGGGCCTATTTCTTACCGCTCAAGTGTAACTAGTCACCTGGAATCGATGCTGGACTCCGCTCAAAAGAAGTATTCTGAATGGAAAACTCGGCATTCGCAATAATGTAAATATCTGTACAGATCGAATTTTTCGGGATTTTGGTTTGCCATTTTCTGTCTCCATTCCTGTTAATTCGTTACTCTAAATAACTACTGTTTCGTGGCATTATGCTGAACTGTATATATTTACTCTCCGGATGTTATTTGAACGATTCATTGACTGATTTTTCGCAACAACTTTTATATCCTTTTGTTTTTTTGACGGTTCTTTTTATTAACTCAGGTAATGTGAATCGTAAAAATAGGTTAAGGGTCAAGTAAATAAACTTCCTTCGGTTCCATCAAAATGAAAGTCAATTTTAAGACGTAATCGCCTCAGTTAAGCATCTTCATATCAAAGTGAAAAATAGTAACGATCTCCTACTATTTTATGGATTCGCAAACTATATTGGTTGCAAGTATTGAGTGTTATGAAGCGTACTACGATATCCTTAGGTTATTAAATCAAATCTGAATAAAATCTTGTCTATGTATCAAGGGAATTTTGCATATTGTATGTGTCACCAGAAGTAACACAATGTCAAACTTTCTTCTTCAGACACTTATCTTATTAGCGCTAACAAACAAGGTTATTATACGTAGGGTTTGGGGTATAAATATCAAGATAATGTCAAACAATGACCTAACTTTAATCCGTTACTACATAAGGAAATATGATGTTCACATCTTCAGATAGCCCAGATTATGGACGGTTGTTTCTTATTATTATCAAGATATTTCGTAGTGAATAAAATATCTAATTATCTTGCTGGTTTTTATATAGAGTATTTAAACAAGTTTAAATCACAGTATACCGCGGCACATTCCGAAGTGTAAAGAATAATGTACGTAATCACTAAAAAGCCCAGTTAGGTAAAGTGGGTACTTAAACTTTCATTTTAATAGTGAGGTTAGACAGGATATTAGGGAATGATGGTAAATCAGTTGATGAGGTCATGAATCTTCATCGACTGAGATGGTTGGGCCACATGTTACGTATGCCTGAACACCGATTACCACGACGCGATATGCTGACTAGTATAGGGGATGGTTGGAAGAGAGTTAGGGGTGGCCAAACCAAAACATGGCATCAGTCCTTGAAGTCACTAACTTCTCGTCTGAGCCATGTTGGTAGATGCAGACTACTTGGTTGGGGTCCACGTGACTATCGTAACCAATGGTTAGAGACTCTGAGTGACATGTCTCAGGATCGATCACAATAGCGTAGGTGTATACACTCTTTATCTTCCCTTAAACCTTGAGATTAAAATTGCTTCATATCTGTCTTTCTTCCTATACTATATCCTGATATATAATATTTCTTTTATATATCACCACCACTAAATTAACTACTTCTATGAATTCGGTGTTCATTTTGTTTTGCTAATGAGGTATGGCAACTTGGACCGATACATATGTGTGCCTGGTCTTACGTTGTAGCTGACTGACTTGCATTTTATATTGCATGCCAAGGTGAAGCTTATCTTCGACAATACAACATTCCTGATCAATTAGTTATCCAAAACTTTATTATGACTAACCATTTCCCGCGATATTACACTGCGTACGTATAATTACCTTTTCATTCCATCGAAACGTCTAGTATTCGACATTAAAATCAACTAAATTAAAAATATTAAGACACCGAAATCTGTTCAGTAAATTGAGATCTTGGTTTCTTATATGATCCCAAGACATTTCACACCGCGTCTTGAATGTATAAACAAACATGAAATTTTGATCAAAGTCTTTGTCGGTTTCCCACCTTGCTGGTTGCATGACTTATTTATTTTTATTAGTGTATCAGCTATCGAGACCTTATACTCAGTCGGACATGCCTGAGTTGTAGAAAATCAAACTGTTGCTTACATTACCCATACTTCAATAGGGTTGTAGCTAACTGACTGAGTTTGTCACCTCTGACAGTCCTGGTAATAAGAGACTGCGTTGATCAGGAATATTAGAATAATACTTCTCAAGTTGTGATTTTAATTTTACTTCATCCTCTCATAAAACATTGTGCTCGGTCACACTAAATAACATTTGTATGTGCAACATTTTTGCTTTGCTTGTAAACACCCCAAGATATTCTTGTCAAACAAAACCACTGAAGTCATCAACTGTATTTGATTCGACTAGTTTTAGAACCACATCGTCTCATGAATAAGACCGTTGATCACTAACTTAGATGATTGATGTCGAGTGATTTGGGGCCTACTCAAGTTAGACGTGAATGGTGTGACGAATCAGCTAATTTCGAAGTCACGCCTCGCGGTCAGTATCTAACGTGGATTACACCTTCAACGTATCAAATTATAATGGCTGTTTTGAAGACTGTGTAACTCAAAGGGTGTGACTACTTAAATATATTAGTAAGAATCAGTAGAGAGATGTTAGTGAGACCACCATTGCATAGGCCAGTTCATGGCGTGTTGGTTATCCTTGAATTAGACAGGGATCTATGATCTGTTCGATATTTAGTGGTCCAACTTCCGGATGATTTGGCTAAGTCTGTGACATTTCACTGCCCCTACAATACTCCCCCATCTAATTCAACGGCTGTTTGAACAGGTACCAAACATGTTGGTAGTCGCGCGCCGGAGGTTGCCAAACGATTATTATGAGTCCTCTGGGTATTGTCGAGCTATAAGATAAATAGAAAGGAGGCGGCAGAAACTGATCGGGGAACAACGAGTAGTAATATGTTACTGGGGTGTTGTCTGAATCCAAAGCGATTGATCATAGAAATAATAGAAACAAAACCTTTAATAGTTCTATCAATCCGCGTTGAAAAAGATAGTTCTGACAAGTGATTGAGCTCCTCAGATAAGAAATGCTAAGTTTGCCGTAGAAGTAATAATGTGACAGCGATAGTACGATAAGTGTATTATCGGTCGATGCCGATGTTTTTACTCCCACTGGTTTAAAATACAAAGTCAACAGTGTCGTTGACAGCTGTTTGTAAGTGCCGGATTCCAGTTATATCTACATTTAACAGACCAACTGTAAGTACAGAAGTATAATCGTGGAGAGAAGTCGGGGTTTTGTTATGTGGAGCTATTGACCAACTTGTAGTTAGAGTTTGAAAAGCCGATGACTGTTGTTGCAGTTAAAAGGGGTCGAAGACTACAGACCGAGAGCAAACGTGGCACGGTGAAGTCTCTAAAAGATGATAAATGGTAAGTGCTGCATGTTTGTTCGATAAGTGACCCGAAAAATATCGAAAAGAACGTGAGCAAAGATTGTCAAGCTGGACTCATGACAATAATACTGGTAAAAAACGCTGTTAGTGTTGGGAGAGGGTCGTTTTCAGTTTGGAAAAGATTCACTCAACCGCGTAAACATGGTTCGTGCGAATGATAGTGTCATCAAACCACCAATTGAATTGGTCAGGTTTCATTGACGAACACGGTGGATCAGATGCAGATGTGAGGGCACGGATCGGCAAAGCAAGAGCAGCATATTTACAACTGGAACTCAAAACAATTGTCAACCAACACCAAGGTTAGAATTTTCAATACAAATGTCAAGACAGTTCTACTGTATGGGGCGGAGACGTGGAGAACTACGAAAGCCATTATCCAGAAGGTACAAGTGTTTATTAACAGCTGTCTACGCAAGATACTTCGGATCCGTTAGCCAGACACTATCAGCAACGAGCTACTGTGGGAGAGAACAAACCAGATTCCGGCGGAGGAAGAAATCAGGAGGAAGCGCTGGAAGTGGATTGGGCACACTTTAAGGAAATCATTCAATTGTGTCACAAGACAAGCCCTCACATGAAATCCTGAGGGTCAACGGAGAAGAGGAAGACCAAAAGAACACATTACGCCGAGAAATAGAGACTGACGTGAGAATGAGAAAGAACTGGATAGAACTAGAAAAGAAGGCCCAGGACAGAGTGGGTTGGAGAATGCTGGTCGGCGGCCTATGCTCCATTGGGAGTAACAGGCGTAAGTGAGTTGAACAGCCGATTGATGTACTGGAATCATGTTACATAACAGCCACGAGGAAACAATACTTACTAAAATAAAGTACGACGTCGAAATTGAATAGCTACAATAGTTTGGATGTGTTATGAGGTCACATAAAAATAACATTGTCCTTACGCATACTGACAGTTGCGCTGAACGTTCGTTTGGTTGTTATCAGTGTAACACTTGAATGTGTGAATAACCACATATATGAACACAATGGTGGGGTTCGCGAAGAATGTCGGAGGTTATTTAGATACTTTCGAAACCCGTATTGCATGTAAATAGACCGAAGACGGAATTAAAACTTTTTTCCTGTATTGGTTATACAATTGGATAAGTTGCAAACAGATATGCGTTCGTGTTGCCTTGTGACTATATTTACTAGTGACTGATATTTTAACAGACATTACACAGGAACATTTACATGCTGTTAATGCTTGTTAACGAACCACGATAGCCGATAATCGTAGTTGATTGGTTAGTTCTATCGATCGAACCAATAGTTTGGGTTTATATACTAATCAACATTGATATGAAGCAACGAACGATCACAGTAACTGATTAACATAGGCGACGATGAAAATAAAAAAAGACAAACATAGAATGCAATTATAAAGATTATAATAATAGGTTGCGTTATCCAAAGTGTTGATCACTAACTTAGATGATCTATGTCGAATGATTCGGGGCCTACAACAGTTGGACGGGAACAGTGTGACGCAACAAGTACACGGTAAAGATTTAGATCCTTTTGAAGCCGAATGCCATCCCGTTTTAACGAATTTGAACCGTCTGACAAGAAGCGATCATCCCTTACTTCACATGCTGTGGGTTTGTTGGGTTGCAAAGTCATTGTGAAGAACATTAATTTAGCTATCTCGATCTTGAGGTGCACACATTGGATCAACTAATCCCTTCATAACTTCCAGTCTCCCTATTTAAGGGAAAATATCTGGTTTGAACGAGGGCGTCCTGTTTTGTTTCTTTTGCAGCAAAAAGAAATGTGAGCAGATGTACCCAGGACCACTGATAAATTTTGACACGCCGGTGTCCTTGCCGTTGAAGATACCACAAGTATTGTAGTTTCAGTAATAAGGATAGGAGGTTCAGTGACCTATTTTAATCCTTGCAGTTTGTTACACTGTGGAGGTCCAATCTCGTTTTGAATATATTAACAGAAGGTGCTGATATTATGTGTTCTAGTAGAGAATTCCAGTAATTCATT